CCTCTTTGCGCCATTTTCCGAGCCGCATCGATCTGTGCTGACCCCCGCCTCCTCCTCCTCCACCTCCGGCCCGAAACCGGGCAGACACGCCCGGCTCGAACAACTCGAGTCGACGCCAGGATTTCTCCGGGCTCTTCGGCGGCCCCGGCAGGACCCGCCCGCCGCCGCGCCGCCGCCCCCGCGCGCCCGCGCCCAGCCCGCGGGCGACTGCGCCGCCCGCCGCCCGCGGTTCCGACTGTGGCGCCGCCTGCGTCGGGGCGCCCCCGGCCGCCAGCCGCGCGGTCGCGACGGCGGGCCCGGCGGCCCGAGCGCGGCCGCGGCCGCGGCCGCGGCCGCGGCCCGCCGGCCGCGCCCCGGCGAGCCGCCTGCGCGGCGGCCGCGGGCCGTCCGGGGACGGCGAGCCGCCCAGCCGCGGCCGCGGCCCCGTCGCGGAGGCGCCGCTGCGCGGGCCGTCCGTGGCCCGCGCGGGCCCCCGCGCGGCACGCCGCGCGCGCGGCCAGCGGCGCGGCCGTGCCCGGGCGGCGCCAGCGGCGCGGGCGGCGCCGGCGCGGAGGACGATCGGCACGAAGATGGGAAGGAGCCCCCACCCCAGACCCCCTCGAGTCATGAAAAATCACGCCCGGAGGTTTTTGCTACCGTGGGGCCGTCAAAAAACGACTCGGGATGAAACATTGGCCCCAGGGAATTGGATCCGGACCTCTGGGGGTCGCGTCAGGAAACAATCATGACGTCGGGGGTCTGGAATTGTGCACTTCGGCGGCGAGCGATGGGGGGAAGTGAGGAGGAGAAGGCCTCCTCAGAGGGTGGCGGGACTTCTCTCAGAAACCCTCGCGTCATCTGAGAAGTTTTCTGCGTCTTCGGGGAAGGATTAGAAAACTTCTCCGAAGGGGGGATCTGGTGGTGCCTGGGCCGGCCGTTCTGCGGAGCCGCCCCGCTGCTCCGCGCCGCGGCCGGCCGCACCGCCAGAGGTTGAAACAGCAGCGCAAGGCTTGCCGCCGACCGAACTGGCAAGGACGTCTGCGTTCGGGGAGGCCGCCCGCGTGGCCTCACCAGAGGAACAAAAAGTGTCATAAACATAAAACCTCGGAGGTCCGCGCGGATTTCTCGGATCGGCGCTGGGCCCCCCTGGCGGCGCCTCTGGCGCCGCCCCTGGCGCGCTCCGCGCGCGGTCTAGCGCCGATCCGTGAAATCCGCGCGGACCTCCGAGGTTTTATGCCACTCCGAGAAATCCGCGCGGACCTCCGAGAAATCCGCGCGGACCTCCGAAAAACCCGCGCGGACCTCCGAGAAACCCGCGCGGACCTCCGAGAAACCCGCGGGGACCTCCGAGAAATCCGCGCCCCCAGGGCTCTTCTGCAGTCTTGGGGCCTCCCGGGGGCCCTCCGCGGGCCCTCGGAGCGTCACGGCACGACTCGGGAGGAAGGTGTGCCGGGCCGACGAGGACGAGTCGAAGAAGGTCGGGGGCAGCGTTGGGGGGCCAGGCTCAGGGCGTGCGAGGCGTCCATGCGCTTTCGTCGGCTCTCGGCGTCCTTGCAGCCTCTTGGGTGATATCTCCAGTAGCCGCGCCTCGCCGAGAGCGTTCCGGGGGGTGCCCCCAGGTCGTCCTGAACCCGGCTGCCCGCGAGCGGAGGCATGGGCCTTGAAGGCCTGGGGGGGGCACCCGCGGCGCCGCCGAGGAGGGTGAGTCGAAGGATGGAAGTCGGCACGAGCTCGCCTCCACGTTTTCTTGTTCGGCGATTCGACATTGTTTCTTATTCGGCGATTCGACATTGAGCGGAAGGGGGGGGAGGAGGGGGGGTCTGGCTCTTCTAGGCCTCCAAGATGGGGTCCGAGTAGATGGGGTCTGAGGATCGCGTCACATCGCCGATGCATCGCCGATGCGGTTCGGTGTGGCACTTGATTTGCTCCACGTCGACGTCGCCGATGCATCTCCGACGTCGACGGTTCATCGCCGGTGCATCGCCGATGCATCCCCGATACATCGTCGATGTATCCGGGATGCGGCGCGATCCTCCGACCTCATCTACTCCGACCCCATCTAGGAGGCCTCTAGCTCTAGACCCCTGCTTAGTGCGACAGTTTGCAACAGTGTGTCCTGTGGGGGAGGGGCCCCACTTGCTCGAAACAGGCGCCAAAGACAGCCAAGATCTACTCCATGGGGGAGGTTGCGAGGGCCCGCGCCGATCGGCAAAACAATGAATAGAAAACGTTCGCCTTGACGCCTCAAACGAAAGGACCGGCCGTTCAGACGAGAGGAGGAGCTCCGGGATGCAGCACCCCCTGGGGGCCAGGTGTTCGGACGCACCCCTAGAGGGACCCGTCCCGTTGTACATCGCCGAGCTGCCCCCCTCCCCCCCTTCAATTTGACCAAACGAGCCCCGCAATGCCGATTGGGGTCTCCATGCCTACCGTTGTAAGCACAGACGCTCGGAGGTCCGCTCGGACCTCCGAAAGCTTGTGCTTGTGCCGATGCGTCTTCTTCTGGAGAGGAGTGGGAGCTGGTGGACGAGCCCGCCGACGTTGCCGCGGGGTACGTCCATGTTCCAGCGACGCTGCGCGCACAGGCGGAGGTGGCGGCGCAGCGGTTCCCGCGCGCGGCGCGGGCGTCCCTGTGGGCATGGTTCTCGGAGAGCACCAACTAGCTTGGCATCGCCCGCACGTGTGCATTTTTTCTCGGCGAGGTACAGTCGGGGCGCAGAAGAAGGAACCCTTGTCATTGGGGAGGGGCTCGGTGTTCCTTGATTGTTTCAAAGTTTAGCCTCGGGTTTTCCTAAGGTTTTCCATGGGAAATCGAGGTTGAACGTGTGGGAAAAAGGGGCCTCGTTCCTTATTTAGGGTTCCTTAGGTCAACGCCTCGACTGTACATCGAGCAGCAACTTGGATCATCTTGCGAAGAGTGTACGAGGAGTGGACGTCCGAGCGATGGCAAGCTGAACACCTAGTCACCGATCTTGGGCCCAGGCTGGTCCTGGGCCCAGGACGGGTGTGCATAGCTTCCTGCCCAGACCAGGAGGGTGTATATCGGGAGGGGAACAGCACACACAGGCACACTTCATCGTCGACTCCCAGCGAAATAAGGGAAAATATGGGAAGTGGGGGGAGGACAGAAACCCAGAAAAATGGAAACATGTGGTGAATCCTGGAATATGTGTGCATTTATTCGCTTGCACAGGGTGTCTAGAGCTCCGACCACTTTATTTCGGCACGGCACCCCCTCCATCACCCACACATTCCACCAGCCAGCGCGCCCCTCCGCCCCGACCTCTTCATTTCGGCACGGCACACCCCTCCGCCCCGACCCCTTTATTTCGGCACGGCGCACCCCCTCCACACCCCCTTCGCATCCCCCCCCCACCCGCCAGCCAGCGCGCCCCTCCGCCCCGACCCCTTTATTTCGGCACTAGTTCGGCACGGCACTCCCCTTTCCGCATCTCCCCCACCCGCCACCCAGCGCGCCCCTCCGCCCCGACCCCTTCTGTTTCGGCACGGCATACCCCTCCGCCCCGACTCCTTTATTTCGGCACGGCACACCCCTTCCGCATCCCCCACACACCAGCCAGCGCGCCCTTCCGCCCCGACCCCTTTATTTCGGCACGGCACGCCCCTCCGCCCCGACCTTTTTTACATTGGCACGGCACAACCTTCCGCATGCCCCCCCACCAGCCAGCGCGCCCCTCCGCCCCGACCCTGTTGTTTCGGCACGGCACCTTCCCCCCCGCCCGCCAGCCAGCGCGCCCCTCCGCCTCGATCCCTTTATTTCGGCACGGCACACCCCTCCGCCCCGACCTTTTATTTCGGCACGGCACACCGCCTCCGCCTCCCCCCACCCACCAGCCAGCGCGCCTTCCGCCTCGACTTTTATTTCGGCACGGCACACCCGTCCGCATCCCCCCACCCACCAGCCAGCGCGCCCCTCCGCCCCGACCCCGTTTTATTCGGCACGGCACACCCATCCGCCCCCTATTTCGGAATGGCACACCCCATTCCCCCCCACCAGCCAACGCGCCTCCCGCCCACACCTTTATTTCGGCATGGCACGCCCTCCGCATCCCCCCCCCCGCCCACCCGCCAGCCCGCCCTTCCGCCTCGATCCCTTTATTTCGGCACGGCACATCTTTCCGCCCCGACCTTTTTATTTCGGCACGGCACACCGCCTCCGCATCCCCCCACTCGCCTGCCAGCGTGCCCGTCCGCCCCGACCCCCTGCCCCCCCCCACTCGCCGCCAGCGCGCCCTCCGCCCCGACACCTTTTTCGGCACGGCACCCCTCCGCCCCGACCCCTCTATCTCGGCATGCCCCCCCCCCCCGCCCCGACCCATTTATTTCGGCACGACACCCCCCCTCTGCATCCCCCTACTCACCAGCAGCCAGCGCGCCCCTCCGACCCGACCCTTTTTGTTTCGGCACAGCACACCCCTCCGCCCCGACCCCTCTTATTTCGGCACGGTCTCCTCACTTACCAGCCAGCGCGCCCCCTCCGCCCCGCGACTCTTTTATTTCGGCACGGCCCCCACTCCCTCCCCGCGCGCCCCGCGCGCCCCCTCCGCATCCCCTCCACCCACCAGCCAGCGCGCCCCTCCGCCCCGACCCTTTTATTACGCCCCCCCCACCCACCCACTCACAAACCAGCGTGCCCCTCCGCCCCGACCCCTTTTGTTTCGACACGGCACACCCCTCCGACCCTCCCCCTTCCTTTTTGTGCAAGAGCAATGGCACACGTGCCACTTGTTTGTATGTCCTTGGGCCCCTTTCTAGGAGGGTGTATACACTGATCCTGGGTTCAGGATGTGGAGCATGTGAACACTTGAGCGGCACAGAGCAACGGGGTCGTCGCCACGGACCTTCGCGCGTAGGCTGCTCGCGTAGGGTCGCGCGCAAGCGCTCTCCTCTCCACGCTGTGTGCCACGCTGGCGGCCCGTGGAAGCCGCGGCGTGAGGTCGCCATGCCTTCTCGCTTGAGACCCGCCTCTTCGCCTCGTCGCTCCCTTGGCGCCCTCCCAGGTTCGTGCTGCTCGCGCTGGGGGAGCTCGCCACGACGATCTGGTGGCTCAGCACCCTCGGCGCGAGGGACGCCGCGCTCCTCGGCGCGCCTGCCGTGATCGGGGCCCTTCTCCTGCTCACGGTCGCCAGTGCCGTGGAAGCGATCCTCGTCTCGAGTGGGCCCTTTTGGAAGCTCCTTTTAACACACATCTTACTCCAGATTTCGTAATAAAGGGAGGGGGGTCTCATTTCGGGGGGGGTCTCTTCCAGGCTATCTTGGAGGGCCTGGGGGGGTCTGGGGACGATGTTTTGGAGGGTTCTCCCACGGGGGAGGTCTGAAATGGCTTGTCTTGGAGGGTCCAGACCCCCTCCCTTTTATTACGAAATCTGGAGTACATGTCGTTGCCATTCTGTAGAGGCTATTGAAGGCCGCCGAAGGCCACTCAAGGCTGCCAAAGGCAACTCGAGGCTGCTAGAGGCCACTATAGGCTGCTGAACGGCGACTCAAGGCCACTAAAGGCCAATCATCATACCCTAAAGGCCGCTAACGGCCACTAAGGCTACTGACCCGAGGCGGTATATTCCAAAGAGACTCACCTAACCCATGCCCATCCCCATCCCGGTCCCCATCATCTCACCACCCCAGTTGGGGATGGGCCCCTCGAAACTCAAAAGGGAACAGCCTACGTCCCCGTCTGGGGGGATACATCGGCCAGAGGGGCCCAGGACACGCCCGTGGGGATAGGGATCGGCTCAACGATGCTCAGGTCGTCACACGCGAGCAGGCCGCGGCCGTGGCGGCGTCCGTGCTGCTGGCCGCGGCGCCCGCGCTGCCAGCGTACTCTGTGCTGCTGCTGATGGCGCAGCCCGCCTGCGAGGACTGCCAGAGCTGCTGGGAGTGGCTCCCAGATTAGGGGAAGACCCTCCGAGCCTGGCGTTGCCGTTTTTTGTTCACGTCCGGCGGTTGCGCTCGGGCTCGAGCACGGAGCGGGAGGACGGGGTCTGGCTTTGGGCGTGCTGTCTCGGGATGCTGCCTCGTTTTCGCAGCGCCGGATCTCGGGGGATTCCGATGCCGCTGCTTGTTCTGGGGACTCCTCGTATCGCCATGGCTACGCTCGCCTCGCGATTGTGGTCAGAACGCACCCCTGGATAGGTCTGGGGAGTAGCGGTATCGGTATTTCCCTAAAAGCGTTTCGCTAGAGGGTTGTCGAAGTGGTAGAGGCAATCCACAGAAGAGTCCCATACGTCGGGACGGGGAGCTCGAGACCGCCTGGTGCGGAGGCGGTCCAGCAGCCGATTCGCTGGAGACTCCCACATTCTATTCAGTCGTGCTCTCGCAACGACCCCTTGCAAACAACCTGACTCGTCAGTCGTTGAAGGCAGGTATTTTTCATGCCCAGTCCCGATTTACTTCTGGCGCCTTGCCTACTTGAAGAGTCGAGGGGTGCTCCCTCGTCCCTCTTCGTCCAGGGGCGGGTGGAAGCCCAGTCTTCTTTCAACGCCTTCCTGCTCTTCGTGTGTCTACCCTCCCACCGGGTTCCTGTCCAAGGCGTTCCTTTGCAAGTACATCGTCATCGGCACCGCCTGATCCCGAGGCTTTGCTCCCTCCTGGCCTTGACGTGAGGCCTCTCCTTCTGTTCCCCCCTCTGCCAATTCAGGCTTCGCGCGGCCCGCTCAGTCTCGACCGGAAGAGGTGCGCTCTCGACCCGCGAATCAGAACCAGTGTCTGCCCTCCCATCTTCTCCACTGAAACAAAACGCGTCTACCCTCCCCCGCCCCCCCCCCCCGCCCCCGTCCGTCCTCCGCGGCCGCCCTGTCTGCCTCGCCCCCCCCCTCCTGCCCGGCGGCCGCCTCGCGCTCCGGCCGCCCCGACCGCTCTCTCCTGCCGGCGCGGCTCTTTTGCCTCGCCGCCGGCGAACCATCAGGAGGAACAAACACACACACAGACACAAGTCATCGTCGATTCCCAGGAAAGTATGCGAAACTATGGGAAGTGGGGGGGAGGACGAAAGTCCAAAAAATATGTGGAGATATGGGGAATCCTTGTATCTGTGTGTGTTTCTTTGTGTGCCCTGGGGCCCCTTCAGAACAAGAGTGCCCGCCCCCCTCTCCCGACCGACGGGTCTGGTGCACACGGCCGTGCTCTCTCACCCCTGAGATACGGGCCGACCGCCAGCGCTCCTCGGCCCGAGCCGCCGCCCCGAGCCTCTGCCGCCGCTGCTTCGCTTCGGGTGCTCCGCCGGGGCAGCTGCGGGAGGCCCAGCGGTCGACGCCAGTACTCACACGGAATCGGGCGTGTCCCTCTGCAGGAGGAGCATCCAAGAATCGTCAAGACTAAATAGCAAGGGGACGACTTTCCCATACTTTTGAGGATGTTTGGGTATTGTTGGCCACGTTTTACCTTTCGTCGAACATCCGCCTGTGGGAGGGCACGCCCGACCTAACACTAACATCGGCGTTGCGCCTCCACCGAGGGAAGATGCTTCCGAACTAGGTGACGGTGGTAAGATTCGGGCCTCCGGGGGGCCGAACATTACCACCAACACCAACATCCGGAATCATCTTCACGCACCGCGTGCCCCCTGGGGTGGGGAGGGGCTTGCCCGTGGAATTCGTTCTCCCGCCCGCCACCCACGGGAGGGGGGAACCGGCAGACCAGCCGAGTTCAGGGGGGGATGCTGCGCTGGTTCGGGGACAGCGCGATTCCCAGGCGAACCAGCGCGGCCGCCTGGAGTGAGCGGGCCCGCAGGCGAACCGGGCTTCCTCCTCCTCGCCTTCCCTGGGCGCCCGCGCGGCGTGCGCGCCCGCTGGCCTGGACCGCACTTCCCCGTGCCTGGGCAGTCCTATCCTCCCCCCGCTGCCCCCTCGCCCGCTCCTCGCAGCGCCGCCTCCTTCCGCTGGGGCAGACCCAGGGCCAGCTAGGGGGCCAAATACGAACCCTATGCCTACCCCCCACGATTTCTGAGAGGGGTGGGTGGGGTTCACTTCGTTCGGGAGCTCCCGAATGAAATGAACCCCATCCTCCCCCTCAGAAATCGTGGGGGGTAGGGGTAGGGTTCGCATTTGGCCCCCTACCAGCGCCCCGGTGGCCTCGCCTGCGCTCGCGCTGCGCGTCAGCTGGGTATGGGCTGCGCTGCCTGGCCCTCTCGGCGGGCCGGCCGGGCCCGCAGCCACCGCGTGCTGGCAGGCGTGGGAGGTGGGCCTCCGGGGGCCGAGGGCGCGGGTGTCTCCTGGCGGTGGGGGGTGGGCAGGTGCTGCTTCTTTCGGGTATAGCCAGGACCCCGGGTAAGGGGACCCGGTTAGTGGTAAGGCCCTGGGGCCCCTCAATTGGCCAGATTCACTAAACCAGGTTTGCCGTAGCTGGTGTTTTTCGGGTGACGGCAGTTCCAGTTGGTGGAAATGGGACGGGGGGGCGCCCCCGGTACAGATCACTAAACCAGGTTCCACTAAACCCAGTTCTACCAACGCCCGAGAGACAACCGGACGACGGGTGGGGCCAAGACTAAGAGGGAGGCGGGACTGCTGCCGAAGGGGGTTCCCCCCCCCCTCCCCCTCCCCGCGCTGTCGTGCTCTGTCGGGCGACCCCCTGTGTGGGGCTTGGTGCCCAATTCGAGGCCTCCAATAACGCTTTTGCGGAGGTCTTGCGGCCTGTGTTGCCGACCCTGAAGGAGGAGGAGGACGACGACGGCGGCGGCGGCGGCAACGGCGACGCTCTGGAGCCGAAAGCTCCACCGTTGCTGCTGTCAGGGTGCTTCGCTGGGATGGCCGTCCCTTCGCCCTCTCGAGTTGGCGGCACGAACAGGAGGGGTAGGGGGAGGGGGGAAGGCTTCTTAGAACGAGGCTGCTTCTTAGGAGGCGCCAGCCCTACATCTGCAGACAAGGCCCGCGCGTTCTAAGAGGCAGGGGTGCTTCTAAGAAGCCTTCCCCCTCCCCCTACCCCCCTGTGCGCGCCGCCAGCTGAGGCTCCACGCGCCCACGCTGGCGGCGCTGTGCTGCTGGCACCTGCTGGCTGCCGCCCTCCCCGCGCTGCTGCACGAGTTCCCATGGGCCACGCGGCCCCGGCGCCACGCGCTGGAGACCCTGCAGCACACCGCGCGGGGGCTTTGCGTCGTGGCGGGGTGGGTCTACGCCGCGGCCGCGTTCCACATTGGGGTGATGCGGGCCTACTACGGTTGGCGTTGCAAAGATCGAGGAGGAGGAGGAGGAGGAGGAGGAAGAGGAGGAGGAGGAGGGGGGGGAGGAGGAGGAGGAGGAGGAGGAGGAGGAGGAGGAGGAGGAGGAGGAGGAGGAGGAGGAGGAGGAGGAGGAGGAGGAGGAGGAGGAGGAGGAGGAGGAGGAGGAGGAGGAGGAGGAGGAGGAGAGGAGGAGGGGAGGGGGAGGGGGAGGGGGAGGGGAGGGGGAGGAGGAGGAGGAGGAGGAGGAGGAGGAGGAGGAGGAGGAGGAGGAGGAGGAGGAGGAGGAGGAGGAGGAGGAGGAGGAGGAGGAGGAGGAGGAGGAGGAGGAGGAGGAGGAGGAGGAGGAGGATGAGGATGTTCCAACCTACTTCAGCTTGGACCACCAGAAATTATTCCGAGCACCAGGGGAGTACCGACACCGGAGAGAATTTCACGCGTCGGGCCCTGGGAGGCGATGCTCGTTCGGCACCCTGTCCGCGTGTCGGGCAGACGCTGTTTCGGCAAGTACCTTCTTTGGGTGCTCGAGAGTGCTCCTGGGAGGTGGGCCCGAAAGCGTGCGATGGGAACAGCAGGAGGACAGCATGCGATGTGGCTCCGCCGGCCCGCTTATCACACGCTGCCCTCCACCTTGGGGATGGCGTGCACCGAGGGACCCCTGGCAGGGGGGCAGCGTGCACCGGCGAGACTCTCGCAGGGGGACTTACCAGTTCGAAACATATCCCTATCCCTATGTTTGACATTACCTCACCTCGATGCCGATCTTAAGGATTCCCTCAGTTTCTGAGGGCCTATCCCTGAGATTGTCCTCGCTTTTTGCTCGCCCATCTTAGGGATAGGGATAAGTTCGAGGCTGGTTAGGGACGGCGTGCGCAGGAGGGGCCTCCGCGGGGGAGTCGCCTCACGGGGATGGTTTGTTGCGTTTCGGAGATGGACGTTGCACGCCATCTTCGGACCATTTTTTGTGATTATTTTAAAACCATTTTGGAGTATTTTTCTAGTATTTTTTATTTTTCGTCGAAAATCCCCCTGTAGGGGGACACGCCCGACTTAAGGGTGGACGGGGTCGCAGGATTGCGCCGGACCGCCCGTGCGTCGGCGGGGGGGCGGGATCAGGAGCCGCCGGATCTTCTTCGCCCCCGCTTCGCCGATGCGTCGGCGATGCGGTTCGCTCCTCTGACCCGTCTCGGAGGAGGTCGCTCTGGGCCTCCTTGTGGAGATCCTGGCGGCACCTTGGGCCAGGGGCACCTCCTGCCCTGGCGCCAGGTCCTCCGAGGGCGCGCGACATTGCCGCGCTCCGCGCAGCGTGGCCTGGGCTGGAGCGGCTGCCTTCTCCAGGGCGGCAGCGCAAGGGCGCGAGGATGACCGCGCGCCGCCCATCGCTGGGCGCGGCGCGCGAAGTTAGGTGACATACCTGGATCAACGCGGGGGTGCGTAGGGAATAAAGGGGGTTCATCGTGGATGTGATGGTGAATTATTAGCGCTTCGCTTGCTCCCACCAGCCCATCCAGAGGCGATGCCCAGACGAGTTGCCCAGATCGGGGAAGTGGAGGAGCATGCGGTGGATCGAAGGGCTGGGCAAGACGTCATACCCAAGGGGGGGAGGATAGAGGAGACATCGGAGAAGGAGCAGGAGGAGAAGGAGGAGGAGGAGGAGGAGGAGGAGGAGGAGGAGGAAGAGGGGGAGGGGGAGGAGTAGGCGGATGAGCAGGAGGAGGAGGACGAGGAGGAGGAGGAGGAGGAGGAGGAGGAGGAGGAGGAGGAGGAGGAGGAGGAGGAGGAGGAGGGTGAGGAGGAGGGCCGAGCAGAACGGCCACTCTTGGATGCCTCTCGGAGTCTCTTCGGATGTCTCGCGAGAGTTTCTTGGAGTCATCTTGGGGCGTCTTAAGGGCTTTCGGCGGCCACAGGGGCATCTTGGTGGGTCGTGGGTGCCTCTGGGGAGCTTCTTGGGGTATGTTGGGGATTTCTCGCGAACATCTTGGGGGCCTCTTGGGGCCTCTTGGGCGCCTCTTGGGGCACTCTTGGGAGCCTTGGGTGCCATCTTGGAGGAGCTCGATCACAGAAAGGGGAGGGTACTCAATTAGGGCCCCTCCCCAGCAGGAGGCCCAAATGTGGCCGATACCTTGAAACAATTCTTGACGCTTCGCGTATCCCCACCAGCGTCCGTAGCTAATATTCTGGCTGGGCGCCTCTGTCGTCCCGGTTTGCATGCTGCACGTGGTGGGTTGGCGCCCTCTCGGCTGCCTTTCTTCTCCGCCGCTTGAATTTGTCTGTGCAGGGCACGTGTTCGCCTGCTGGTCTGGTCGGCTGTTGTTAGGACAGTCGGTCAATATTCTGGCTCGGTCCCGCTGTCGCCTGTACTGCATGTTGCACGTGCGTGGGTTGGCGCCTTTGGCGGCTTCCTCCTTGTGGCCTGGCCCTCACTCATTATCTGGCATTGCGCCCCTGTGCCTGTGTTGAACACGCCCTCTGGACTTTTCCTTGCGGGCCGCCGAACAAAAAATATCCCCACCAGCGTCCGCAGCCTGGCTCAAGCCTTGGGTCAAGCCGTTTTGACGTAGGGAATTTACAACGTGGCTCAAGCCGCGGTGCCGTGTCTTCTCGGATGCTGGGCATCGGCCGAGGGTCTCGAGAAGGCGTTATTTCCCTCGACGCGTCGATCAAGAACTGCGGTCGGACAAAACAGTGGAGCGTAGCACTGCGGTTGCTCAGTGAAGGACTTCGATTAGGTGTGCAACTTTTCTCAGGCCACTACATGGCGACTGCCAGCGCGTGCAGAAAAGGCGGGCAATGGCAACGCGCGCTCTCAGTGCTCAGTGACATGTGGAAGGCGAAGTTGGAACCCGACGTCATCAGCTACAACGCTGGGATCAGCGCGTGCGAGAAGGGCGAACAGTGGCAGGCGGCGCTTGCGCTGCTGAGCGAGATGCGGGAGACGAAGCTGGAACCCAACGTCATCAGCTACAGCGCTGGGATGAGCGCGTGCGAGAAGGGCGAGCAGTGGCAGCGGGCACTGGCGCTGCTGAGCGAGATGCGGGAGGCGAAGCTGGAGCCCAACGTCATCAGCTACAGCGCTGGGGTGAGCGCGTGCGAGAAGGGCGAGCAGTGGCAGTGGGCGCTTGCGCTGCTGAGCGAGATGTGGCAGGCGAGGCTGGAACCCAACGTCATCAGCTACAACGCTGGGATCAGCGCGTGCGAGAAGGGCGAGCAGTGGCAGCGGGCACTTGCGCTGCTGAGCGAGATGCGGGAGGCGAAGCTGGAGCCCGACGTCATCAGCTACAACGCTGGGATCAGCGCGTGCGAGAAGGGCGAGCAATGGCAGTGGGCGCTTGCGCTGCTGAGCGAGATGTTGGAGGCGAAGCTGGAGCCCAACGTCATCAGCTACAGCGCTGGGATCAGCGCGTGCGAGAAGGGCGAGCAGTGGCAGGCGGCGCTTGCGCTGCTGAGCGAGATGCGGGAGGCGAAGCTGGAGCCCAACGCCATCTAGACTATATGGCCAGAGGAACCGCGTGCCGGAAAGAAAAACGCCAAATGCCCGGAAACGGATCCGAGACGCTCCGGAGGCCGCCCCGACGGCCCAAAGACGGCTCCGAGCTTCTCCAAGACGGCTCCGACGCGCTCAAGATCAAGATGCCCCGAAGGCGGCCCAAGAGGGCCCCGAGACGCGCAATGATCCGGCCAAGACGTTCGAGATTGGCCCAAGACGGCCCACGAGCCCCCCAAGACGGCCCAACAGGCCTCCCAGGAGGCGCTCCAAGAGAGCCCCGAGAGGCCAAAAACGTTGATTTTCATTGGTTTTTGTTCAGAGGTTTTTTGCTTCCTCGCTTTCTCGGCTTCCCGACGCTCCGAACCCCCTCCAGAGGCATCCAAGACCGCTCCAAGACGGTCCCAGAGGGCCCCAAGACGGTCCAAGGCGGCTCCAGGACGGCCCCAGAGGCGCCCAAGACATGCCAACGGGACCCCAAGATGGCCCGAAGAACGGCCCAAGATGGCTCCAAGACGGCCCGAGGACCGCCCAAGAAGGCCTTAGGGGGCCCCAAGACAGCCCAAGGGGCGCGATAAACGAGCCCAGAGAGGCCCAAGAGGCCCCCAGGAGCCCAAAAGAGGTCCCCAAACGGCCCCAGAGCTCCCCAAGACGGCCCGACAGGCCTCCCAAAAGGCCCCCCAAGAGAGCCCCGAGAGGCCAAAATTGTGGTTTTTCATTGGTTTTCCAGCTGTTTTTTTGCTTCTTCGCTTTTTCGGCTTCCCGACGCTCCGACACCCCGCCGGAGGCATCCAAGACCGCTTCAAGACGGTCCACGAGGCCCCCCAGAGGACCCCCAGACGGTCCAAGAGAGCCCCAAGACGGTCCAAGGCGGCCCCAGGACGGCCCCAGAGGCGCCCAAGACAGGCCAATGGGACCCCAAGATGGCCCGAAGAGCGGCCCAAGATGGCTCCAAGACGGCCCGAGGACCGCCCAAGAAGGCCTTAGGGGGCCCCAAGACAGCCCAAGGGGCGCGATAAACGAGCCCAGAGAGGCCCAAGAGGCCGAGCCCAAAAGAGGTCCCCAAACGGCCCCAGAGCTCCCCAAGACGGCCCAACAGGCCTCCAAAGAGGCCTCCCAAGAGAGCCCCGAGAGGCCCAAATCGTTGTCTTTCATTGGTTCTTCCGAGGTTTTTTGCTTCCTCGCTTTCTCGGCTTCCCGACGATCCGAAACTCCTCCAGAGGCATCCAAGACCGCTCCAAGACTGTCCACGAGGTCCCCCAGACAGAGGACCCCCAGACGGTCCAAGAGGGCCCCAAGACGGTCCAAGGCGGCCCCAGGACGGCCCCAGAGGCGCCCAAGACAGGCCAACGGGACCCCAAGATGGCCAGAAGAGCGGCCCAAGATGGTTCCAAGACGGCCCGAGGACCGCCCAAGAAGGCCCTCGAAGGCCCCACGACAGCCCAAGGGGCGCGATAGACGAGCCCAGAGAGGCCCACGAGGCCCCCAGGAGCCCAACAGAGGTCTCCAAGAGGTGCCACGGGGCTTCCAACTGCTTCGAAGAGAGGGGGGCGGACCAGGGGACCGCCTCAGGAACGGCCCAATAGGCCTCCCAAGAGGCCTCCCGAGAGAGCCCCGAGAGGTCAACATCGTTGATTTTCATTGGTTCTTCCGAGGTTTTTCGCTTCCACGCTTTTCCGGCTTCCCGACGCTCCGAACCCCCCCAGAGGCATCCAAGACCGATCCAAAACGGTCCAAGAGGTTCCCAAGAGGACCCCCAGACGGTCCAAGGAAAAAGATGCATTTCCTTTGGAAAACGAGCCACTTTCAAGTTGCTGCTGACGAGGTTCCCTGCCAGCTCCGCAAGGGAACGATCCAGCCTACGGACGCCACAGACGATGCACGCGCTAACATAATCACGAGCACCGCGTGATATTCTATGAAATTGTCTCAGCGACAATATTATCGTATCGTATTGGCTTAAATGGTTATGTTTTGATATGAAATGGTGATGTTTGGGTGATTTTCGTTACGCATGCGTACATTCGTGCACGTACAAATCACACACGCGCGTTTATTATCACACACGCGTCTTTATAATGGTCGTCTACGAGGCTCGGGGCCTGCCTTGGATGCACTCCGGCGGGCCGCCAAGCGAGTCTCCGGGGCGCTCAGCCTCAGAGCGGATAGCCCTCAGGCAAAACACGCCCCAGACCCCACACAAGGCCCTGTAGACCACTCCGACCTGCCCCAGGCCCACTCAAGAACCTTCGCATCGTGGACCCCCCTCCAGTCCCGGAGCAGGAAGCCCTTAGACCATCACCCCAGGCACCCCAGCAGGGGTGACAAGGAGGACCTTCCGCTGGCCCCGCAGGCCCCACACCAAGCCCCAGACTCCACACCAGGCCCTAGACGCTGTGGGGCCTCCACTCCGCCTGTTAGGGGTGACGCGGGGGACCTGTAGCCGCTTCGGTCGCTCCTCCTCTACCGCCGATTAGGGGTGACAGGGGGAGGGACCTGCAGACACTGCGGGGATCAGCATCTCGCTCCCCCCCTATACGGCCGATTGGGGGTGACGGGGGGGACCTTCCTCGTAGAGCCCTCGGTGGCCCCAAGACAGTCCCAGAGCGAACGCGCAGGCGTCGGCGACACATATGCGTTCGTGGATTTTCCACGGGTTCGGCCCAACAGGCCTCCCAGCAGGCGCTCCAAGAGAGCCCCGAGAGGCCAAAATCGTTGATTTTCATTGGTTTTTGTTCAGAGGTTTTTTGCTTCCTGGCTTTTTCGGCTTCCCGACGCTCCGAACCCCCCCCCGAGGCATCCAAGACCGCTCCAAGACGGTCCACGAGGGCCCCAAGACGGTCCAAGGCGGCCCCAGGATGGCCCCAGAGGCGCCCAAGACAGGCCAACAGGACCCCAAGATGGCCCGAAGAGCGGCCCAAGATGGCTCCCAGACGGCCCGAGGACCGCCCAAGAAGGCCCTAGGGGGCCCCAAGACAGCCCAAGGGGCGCGATAAACGAGCCCAGAGAGGCCCAAGAGGCCCCCAGGAGCCCAAAAGAGGTCCCCAAGAGGTGCCACGGGCGGACGAGGGGACCGCCTCAGGAGGTTTTGGACGGTTTTGGGCGTCAAAATCATTAGCTTTACGACGGTTTTGGAAGGATTTTGGCCTCGCCTTTTCCGCTTGCCGACGCTCGAAGACGGCCCAAGAGGCCTCCAAGAGCGTTCCAGAACGGCCCAAGAGGTTTCCAAGAGCGCCCCAAGACAGCCCAAGAGGGCCCCAAGACGACCCAAGAGACGCTCAAGACGGCCCACGAGGGCCCGAAGACAGGCCCAAGAGGGGGCCAAGAGGGGGACCACGGACCGAAAATCCGAGCATTCCGCCCAAGAGGGCGCCAGGAGGCCCAAACAGGCCCCCAAGAGGCCCCAAGGGGCCGCCAAGAATCCCCCAAAGAGGCCCCAGGAGGCTCCCAAGGAGCCCAAACGAGGCCCCAACAGAGGCCCCAACAGCTTCCAAAATGGCCCCAAAGAGGCCTCGAGCCCGCCTCCGAGCTTCCTCGCCGCGAGGGTGCCAACACGGCCCCAGACGGGCCCAGGACGGCCCAAGGCGCGCTCAAGACGGCCCAAGACGATTCCAAGACGGTCCCAGGAGGGTGCGCCCAGGACGGCCCAAGGACGCGCCTGGTCGGGACCTCAAGACGGGCCAAGATGGCAAGAGAGCCCCAGCTGGCAAAAATCGTTAATGTTCCATTGTTTCCTGTTACACCCTTTGCGCTTCCCGCCGTTTCGGCGGTCCTATGCACCAAGAGGCCCCTGAAAGTCCCAGGAGGGTCCGAGGAAACGCCCAGGAAGGCCCCAAAACGGGCCAAGACGGACCCAGCACAACCCAAGGCGCGCTGCGACGGCTCAAGACGGCTCCAAGACAGCCCCAAGAGGGTGCCAACACGGCCCTTGCTGGGCCCAGGACGGCCCAAGGAGGCGCACAGGAGGGGCCCAAGACGACTCCAAGGCGGCCCCCTCACGGTCCCAGACGGCTCCAAGACAGCCCCACGAGGACCCCGATGGGCCCAGGACGGCCTTCGGACGGCCCATGAGGGGCCCACGACGAATCAAAACGGCCCCATCACGGTACACGGCGCCCTCAAGACGGGCCTGGACGGCTCCAAGACGGCCTTTTGAGGGAGCCAACGCGGCCCCACACCCTTCGGGCGCATACTTGAGGGGGCTGGGAGCTTGCGACAAGTCTCCCACATTCATTGTCCTGCCCCATTCTGCTCGCCTGGAGGCCTCCTCCGTCCCTGTGGGCGAACAAGAGGAAACCCAGCGGGCCGCCAACCCTGGGGCCCGTGGGCCCCGCGCCGCTTGGGCAGAAGACGAACGCCGGGGCTGACAGGCCAGCTACCGCCCCCCTTTGCCCGATATGCTGTGCCATTCTGTTCCCCCAGGGGCCTTGGCGAACTCTTCGGGCCAAGCAGACCGGACCCCTGGGACAGCAGCCAATTGATATGACCCTGGGACCTCTCCGCATTCTTCGGACGAGCACCTGGGGGGCCCAGGAGATTCGGACAAGTCTTCCCATTCCTTGCCCTGTCCCGTTCTGCTCGCCCGAAGGCCTCCACAGACCCTCTGGGCGAACAGAATGGGACATGGCGAACAAACCCTCCCGTTGGCGGTGATGCGACTGGATCGCACCATCAAGGCGCGCCCGGAGGTGATGGCCGACCCAACAGCGGTTTCTCTAAAGATTTCACAGAATTTCAAGTTTTCTTGAAGCTCTCTTGTGCCCTCTCTGTAGATCCTTGCGAGCCTCCCTGGAGCTTTCGGTGGCTTTCCCCGATGGCCTCCCGAGCCCTTCCCCGAGCGCTCCTGAGACGCCTCAGATGGGCTTCGACTTCGACGCACATCCCCGAGAGACTTCGAAACTGTCCTCAATAGGAGGGGGGTGAACGAGCAGTGCGCTGGGCCAAGCTGCTGGAGCGCTGCAAGAGCTCGGACACGAAGGCGCGGTCTCGCTGCCGCCGCCCGAGCCGCCGCCGTGTTTGTAGATTTTCGGTACAATCTGCGCCGTTCCTCCGAGAACCATTCCAGAAAGATGTCGTGGACGGAGTCCACGGGTCAGCCCTAGTCAGCTACAGCGCTGGGATCAGCGCGTGCGAGAAGGGCGAGCAGTGGCAGTGGGCGCTGGCGCTGCTGGCGAGATGCGGGAGGCGATGCTGGAGCGCTCTGGAGCCGCGCTGGGGCGGCGCGCGTGCAGAGAAGGGCGAGCAACGTCATCTCTACTACATTGCAGCGCGGCCCAGTGCAGTGTGGGCCAGAAGGGAGCCCAAGGCCCCAATGCGTGCACAGTGGCAGCGAAACCGAAGCCCCACGTCATCTCTACTACATTGCAGGGCCCAGTGCGTGCCAGAAGGGCGCAGGCCCCAATGCACCGAAACCGCCCCGGGCTGGCCCCGGGCCGCCCCGGGCCGCCCAGGCAGGCTCCAGGACACGTCGAGAGGGCCCCCAGAAGCCCCCAAGACGGCCCCGGAGAGCCCCGGCACGCTTAAAGATGGGCCCAAGACGCCCGAGATTCGCCCCAGGCGGCCCAAGAGGCGTCCAAGACGCCCGAAGAGGCCTCCCAAGAGGCCTCCCAAGAGGGCCCCGAGCGACAGAAATCGTCGATTTCTACTGTGTTTTTCTGTGTTTTCGGCCTCCTCGCCTCGTCGGCTTCCCGACGCTCCAAGACGGCCCAGGAAGCCCCCCCGACCGCTCCAAGACGGCCGAAGAGGACCCCAAGAGAGCCCCAAGACGGGCCAGGAGGGCCCCCAGACGGTCCCAAGACGCCCCAGGACGGCCCCAGGACGGCCCAGAAGGCGCCCAAGACGGCCGAAGAGGCACCCAAGACGGCCCCAGGAGCGGCCCAAGACGGCCCAAGACAGCCCAAGAGGCGCCGAGGCGGGTTTCAGACGGCCCCAAGACGGCCCAAGAGGCACCCAAGACGGCCCGAGAGGGCCCTAAGAGCCCCCCGGGAGGCCCAAACGAAGGCCGAAGAGGCTCCGAAACGGCCCCCACAAAGCCTTCAGTGCCTTCAGAATTCCCTCCAGGAGCGGGGGAGCGGACGAGAGGCGACAGGCATATCGCAGGCAAAAACGCCCCAAGAGATCCCCAAACGGCCCCCACGAAGCCCTAAATGGAAAGCCAAGCTGGAGCCCGACGCCATCATGATTGCCTTTCGGCCCTGCAGCCGCACCCCCCCGCGCTTGCCCAGAGACCCCTCGCCACGTCGAGCTGATGTCGTGGACGGAGTCCACAGGTCTGCCCTAGTCAGCTACAGCGCTGGGATCAGCGCGTGCGAGAAGGGCGAGCAGTGGCAGCGGGCACTTGCGCTGCTGAGCGAGATGCGGGAGGCGAAGCTGGAGCCCAACGTCATCAGCCACAGCGCTGGGATCAGCGCGTGCGAGAAGGGCGAGCAGTGGCAGCCGGCGCTTGCGCTGCTGAGCGAGATGTGGCAGGCGAAGCTGGAGCCCAACGTCATCTATACTATATGGCCAGAGGAACCGCGTGCCGGAAGGAAAAAGGGCCAAATGCCGGGAAACGGCTCCGAGACGCTCCGGAGGCCGCCCCGACGGCCCAAAGACGGCTCCGAGCCGCTCCAAGACGGCTCCGACCCGCTCACGAGGCCCCGATGGCGGCCCAAGAGGGCCCCGAGACGCGCAATGATCCGGCCAAGACGCCCGAGATTGGCCCAAGACCGTCCAAGAGCTCCCCAAGACGGCCCAACCGGCCCCCCAAGAGGCCTCCCAAGAGAGCCCCGAGAGGCCCAAACCGTAAATTTTCATTGTTTTTTTTTCCGAGGTTTTTGCTTCCTCGCTTTCTCGGCTTCCCGACGCTCCGAAACCCCTCCAGAGGCATCCAAGACCGCTCCAAGACGGTCCAAGAGGGCCCCAAGACGGTCCAAGGCCGCCCCAGGACGGCCCCAGAGGCGCCCAAGACAGGCCAACGGGACCCCAAGATGGCCCGAAAAGCGGCCCAAGATGGCTCCAAGACGGCCCGAGGACCGCTCAAGAAGGCCCTAGGGGGCCCCAAGACAGCCCAAGGGGCGCGATAGACGAGCCCAGAGAGGCCCAAGAGGCCCCCAGGAGCCCAAAAGAGGTCCCCAAACGGCCCCAGAGCTCCCCAAGACGACCCAACAGGCCTCCCAATAGGCCTCCCAAGAGAGCCCCGAGAGGCCAAAATCATTGTTTTTCATTTGTTTTTTTCCGAGGTTTTTTGCGTCCTCGTTTTTTCGGCTTCCCGACGCTCCGACACCCCCCCGGAGGCATCAAAGACCGCTTCAAGACGGTCCACGAGGTCCCCCAGAGGACCCCCAGACGGTCCAAGAGGGCCCCAAGACGGTCCAAGGCGGCCCCAGGACGGCCCCAGAGGCGCCCAAGACAGGCCAACGGGACCCCAAGATGGCCCGAAGAGCGGCCCAAGATGGCTCCAAGACGGCCCGAGGACCGCTCAAGAAGGCCCTCGGGGGCCCCACGACAGCCCAAGGGGCGCGATAGACGAGCCCAGAGAGGCCCACGAGGCCCCCAGGAGCCCAAAAGAAGTCCCCAAACGGCCCAGAGTTCCCCAAGACGGCCCAACAGGCCCCCCAAGAGGCCTCCCAAGAGAGCCCCGAGAGGCCAAAATCATTGTTTTTCATTTGTTTTTTTCCGATGTTTTTTGCTTCCTCGCTTTCTCGGCTTCCCGACGCTCCGAAACCCCTCCAGAGGCATCCAAGACCGCTCCAAGACGGTCCCAAGAGGGCCCAAGACCCCAACGGTCCAAGGCGGCCCCAGGACGGCCCCAGAGGCGCCCAAGACAGGCCAACGGGACCCCAAGATGGCCCGAAGAGCGGCCCAAGATGGCTCCAAGACGGCCCGAGGACCGCCCAAGAAGGCCCTCGGGGGCCCCACGACAGCCCAAGGGGCGCGATAGACGAGCCCAGAGAGGCCCACGAGGCCCCCAGGAGCCCAAAAGAAGTCCCCAAACGGCCCGAGAGCTCCCCAAGACGGCCCAACAGGCCCCCCAAGAGGCCTCCCAAGAGAGCCCCGAGAGGCCAAAATCATTGTTTTTCATTTGTTTTTTTCCGATGTTTTTTGCTTCCTCGCTTTCTCGGCTTCCCGACGCTCCGAAACCCCTCCAGAGGCATCCAAGACCGCTCCAAGACGGTCCAAGAGGGCCCCAAGACGGTCCAAGGCGGCCCCAGGACGGCCCCAGAGGCGCCCAAGACAGGCCAACGGGACCCCAAGATGGCCCGAAGAGCGGCCCAAGATGGCTCCAAGGCGGCCCGAGGACCGCCCAAGAAGGCCCTCGGGGGCCCCACGACAGCCCAAGGGGCGCAATAGACGAGCCCAGAGAGGCCCACGAGGCCCTCAGGAGCCCCAAAGAGGTCCCCCAGAGGTGCCACGGGGGCGGACGAGGGGACCGCCTCAGGAGGTTTTGGACGGTTTTGGGTATCAAAATCATGCGCTTCATGACGGTTTTGGAAGGATTTTGGCCTTCTCGCCTTTTCCGCTTGCCGACGCTCGAAGACGGTCCAAGAGGCCTCCAAGAGCGCCCCAGAACGGCCCAAGAGGTTTCCAAGAGCGCCCCAAGACAGCCCAAGAGGGCCCCAAGACGACCCAAGAGACGCTCAAGACGGCCCACGAGGGCCCGAAGACAGGCCCAAGAGGGGGCCAAGAGGGGGACCACGGACCGAAAATCCGAGCATTCCGCCCCAAGAGGGCGCCAGGAGGCCCAAACAGGCCCCCAAGAGGCCCCAAGGGCCGCCAAGAATCCCCCGAAAGAGGCCCCAGGAGGCTCCCAAGGAGCCCAGAACGAGGCCCCAACAGAGGCCCCAACAGCTTCCAAAATGGCCCCAAAGAGGCCTCGAGCCCGCCTCCGAGCTTCCTCGCCGCGAGGGTGCCAACACGGCCCCAGACGGGCCCAGGACGGCCCAAGGCGCGCTCAAGACGGCCCAAGACGATTCCAAGACGGTCCCAGGAGGGTGCGCCCAGGACGGCCCAAGGACGCGCCCGGTCGGGGCCTCAAGACGGGCCAAGATGGCAAGAGAGCCCCAGCTGGCAAAAATCGTTAATTTTCCATTGTTTACTGTTACACCCTTTGCGTTTCCCGCCGTTTCGGCGGTCCCATGCACCAAGAGGCCCCAGAAAGTCCCAGGAGGGTACGAGGAAACGCCCAGGAAGGCCCCAAGACGGGCCAAGACGGACCCAGCACAACCCAAGGCGCGCTGCGACGGCTCAAGACGGCTCCAAGACAGCCCCAAGAGGGTGCCAACACGGCCCCTGCTGGGCCCAGGACGGCCCAAGGAGGCGCACAGGAGGGGCCCAAGACGACTCCAAGGCGGCCCCCTCACGGTCCCAGACGGCTCCAAGACAGCCCCACGAGGACCCCGATGGGCCCAGGACGGCCTACGGACGGCCCATGAGGGGCCCACGACGAACCAAGACGGCCCCATCACGGCACACGGCGCCCTCAAGACGGGCCTGGACGGCTCCAAGACGGCCCTTTGAGGGAGCCAACGCGGCCCCACACCCTTCGGGCGCACACTTGGGGGGGCTGGGAGCTTGCGACAAGTCTCCCACATTCATTGTCCTGCCCCATTCTGTTCGCCTGGAGGCCTCCTCCAACCCTGTGGGCGAACAAGAGGAACCCAGCGGGCCGCCAACCCTGGGGCCCGTGGGCCCCGCGCCGCTTGGGCAGAAGACGAACGCCGGGTCTGACAGGCCAGCTACCGCCCCCCTTTGCCCGATATGCTGTGCCATTCTGTTCCCCCAGGGGCCTTGGCAAACTCTTCGGGCCAAGCAGACCGGACCCCTGGGACAGCAGCCAATTGATATGACCCAGGGACCTCTCCGCATTCTTCGGACGAGCACCTGGGGGGCCCAGGAGATTCGGACAAGTCTTCCCCATTCCTTGCCCTGTCCCCGTGTCTGGAAGGCCTCCACAGACCCTCTGGGCGAACAGAATGGGACATGGCGAACAAACCCTCCCGTTGGCGGTGATGCGACTGGATCGCACCATCAAGGCGCGCCCGGAGGTGATGGCCGACCCAACAGCGGTTTCTCTAAAGATTTCACAGAATTTCAAATTTTCTTGAAGCTCTCTTGTGCCCTCCCTGTAGATCCTTGCGAGCCTCCCCGGCGCTTTCGGTGGCTTTCCCCGATGGCCTCCCGAGCCCTTTCCCGAGCGCTCCTGAGACGCCTCAGATGGGCTTCGACTTCGACGCAAATCCCTGAGAGACTTCGAAACTGTCCTCAATAGGAGGGGGGTGAACGAGCAGTGCGCTGGGCCAAGTTGCTGGAGCGCTGCAAGAGCTCGGACACGATGGCGCGGTCTCGCTGCCGCCGCCCGAGCCGCCGCCGTGTTTGTAGATTTTCGGTACAATCTGCGCCGTTCCTCCGAGAACCATTCCAGAAAGATGTCGTGGACGGAGTCCACGGGTCAGCCCTAGTCAGCTACAACGCTGGGATCAGCGCGTGCGAGAAGGGCGAGCAGTGGCAGCGGGCCCTGGCGCTGCTGAGCGAGATGCGGGAGGCGAAGCTGGAGCCCGACGTCATCAGCTACAACGTTGGGATCAGCGTGTGCGAGAAGGGTGGGCAGTGGCAACAGGCGCTGAGCATGCTCAGAACCATGCGTTTGAGAAAGTTGGACGTTGACTTCGTGGTCTACGGAACTGCAGCCAGCATGTGCGAGCAAGGCGGGCAAGGGAGCCAAGCGCTGTCTGTATTCAAAGAGGTGTGTGACCTTGTTGCAGGGGAATGATACAATACATGTCGAGCACGATCCAGTTGGTTCAGTTGCAACGCTGGGGCAAGCGCGTGGAGATAGGCGAGCAGTGGCCGATGGCTTTGTCGCTGCTGAGCGAGATCCGGGAGGCTAAGCTGGAGCCCGATGCTATCATCATCCCCTCAATTCTGGGGCAAGTGCGTGGGCCAATCGCTTTCTCGGCCTCCAGCGGTGTCGGCACTGCCTCGGGGTCCCTGTGGGCTCTTGGTCCCAAAGACGTCGCAGAGACTGCCTTCGATAATGTCCGAGATGGCCAGAATTTGCTCCGACAGCCGCTGGACAGGGCCCCCGAGAGATCTCAAGCGGTTCCAAGAAGCCTCCAAAAGGTCCCTAGACGCACCAAGAGGCCTTGCAGGAATTGTCCAGAAGACCACGGGAACTTCAAAACTTTTCAACACCCAACGGAAGATGCAGACGCCCAAGATGGCCTCCAGACGGCCCACGAGGCGCCCAAATTGTTCCAAGCAGGCTCCAAGAAGAGCCCCGAGAGAGCCCGAACGAGGAAAAATGTCCCAAATCCTTCAGGAAAATGTTTATTTTGGCAATTCCCGTGCTTTTCGTCTTCAAAGCGCCCAAGACGACAAGATCGCCACAAAAGGGTCCAGGAGGCCCCTGGGAGGGCCCCAAGACGGCCCTAGGCGGTCCCAGGACGGCTACTGAGGCGCCCATGACGGCCCAAGAGGCTCCCATGACAGCCCCAAGAGGGGCCAATGAAGACCCAAGAGAGCCCCAAGGCGGTCCGAGGACAGCCATGGAGCCGCCCAAGACGGTCCCAGACGGCCCCAAGACGGACCGGGGCACCCAAGACGGCCCAAGAGGGCCCCAAGAGGCTCCCAGGAGGCCGCCAGACGGCCCAACAGGGCCCCAAGAGGTTCTTACAAGGCGGAACAGAAGCCCTGGGGCGCGGCCACACCCACGGAAAATAAACCCCGACTTCGAGGTTTATTACCTAACAGCGAAGGCTGATAGGTTTCTAATGGGGTCAAAAGAGAGCATCTGATGACTCCCCAGGGGGGTCTGGGCGGGAGCCGGACAGGCGAGGGCCGGGCTCGTTTTAAGCAATCAGTCACACACTTCGTGCTCTTCGACCTCCCAGAACTCCATTCCCGGGCCACATTCTGAATGCCCGGAGCCAACTGTAGGCCACTTCGTACTCTTCGACTTCTCAGAACTCCATTCCCGGGCCACATTTTGGATGCCCGGAGCCAACTGTAGGCCACTTCGTGCTCTTCGACTTCCCAGAACTCCATTCCTGGGCCACATTTTGAATGCCCGGAGCCAACTGTAGGCCACTTCGTGCTCTTCGAGTTCCCAGAACTTCCATTCCCGGGCCACATTTTGAATGCTGAGGCAGGCTGATGCTGAGCTGAGCTGAGGCAGGCTGAGGCTGAGGCAGGCTGAGGCTGAGGCCGAGGCTGAAGGCAGACTGAGGCTGAGGCTGAAGCAGGCTGAGGCTGAGGCTGAGGCAGGCTGAGGCTGAGGCTGAGGCAGGCTGATGCTGAGGCAGGCTGAGGCTGAGGCTGAGGCTGATGCAGGCTGAGGCTGAGGCAGGCTGAGGCTGAGGCCGAGGCTGAAGGCAGACTGAGGCTGAGGCTGAAGCAGGCTGAGGCTGAGGCAGAGGCAGGCTGAGGCTGAGGCTGAGGCAGGCTGATGCTGAGGAGGCAGGCTGAGGCTGAGACTGAGATGCTGAGGCTGATGGCTGAGGCTGAGGCTGAGAGAGGAGGCTGAGGCAGGCTGAGGCTGAGGCTGATGCAGGCTGAGGCTGAGGCAGGCTGAGGCTGAAGGCTGAGGCTGATGCAGGCTGAGGCTGAGGCAGGCTGAGGCTGAGGCCTGAGGCTGAGGCAGGCTTTGAGGCTGAGGCTGAGGCTGAGAGGCTGGGCTGAGGCTGAGGCTGAGGCAGGCTGATGCTGAGGCTGAGGCTGAGGCTGAGGCTGAGGCTGAGGCCCAGGCTGAAGGCTGAGGCTGAGCTGAGGCTGAGGCTGAGGCTGGCAGGCTGAGGCTGAGGCTGAGGCTGAGAGCTGAGGCTGAGGCTGAGGCTGAGCAGGCTGAGGCTGAGGCTGAGGCAGGCTGAGGCTGAGGCTGAGGCTGATGGCTGAGGCTGAGGCTGAGGCTGAGGCTGAGGCAGACGAGGCTGAGGCCGAGGCTGAAGGCAGACTGAGGCTGAGGCTGAAGCAGGCTGAGGCTGAGGCTGAGGCAGGCTGAGGCTGAGGCTGAGGCAGGCTGATGCTGAGGCAGGCTGAGGCTGAGGCTGAGGCTGATGCAGGCTGAGGCTGAGGCAGGCTGAGGCTGAGGCCGAGGCTGAGGCTGAGGCTGTGGCTGAAGCAGGCTGCGCTGAGGCTGCTGAGGCTGAGGCTGAGGCTGAGGCAGGCTGAGGCTGAGGCTGAGGCTGATGCAGGCCGAGGCTGAGGCCGAGACCGAGGCGGGCAGACTGAGGCTGAGGCTGAAGCAGGCTGAGGCTGAGGCAGAGGCAGGCTGAGGCTGAGGCTGAGGCAGGCTGATGCTGAGGCAGGCTGAGGCTGAGGCTGATGCAGGGTGAGGCTGAGGCAGGCTGAGGCTGAGGCCGAGGCTGAAGGCAGACTGATGTTGAGGCTGAAGCAGGCTGAGGCTGAGGCTGAGGCAGGCTGAGGCTGAGGCAGGCTGAGGCTGAGGCTGAGGCAGGCTGAGGCTGAGGCTGTGACTGCGACTGCCGTTGCCACTGCGACTGCCATCGCGAATGCGACTACGACTGCGAGAACAGCAGAATTCTACAACAGGATTCTCATCTGAATCGTAAGGGGAATGCTTCCAGACATGCTCCTACACATCGCTGTTAGGTTGCTTTGCCGGGATAATTTTCCGACGCCCTGGGGCGGAGCAATCGACCCTTGCCCATGACGTTCGTCGACTCGCCACGTCCACGGAATGCCAGTACCTACTTCGAAGTCTTCCCCCCAGGCTCCAGATGGGGCGCAGACGTCTCGCCCGGATCGTTCGTGATTCAACGACGCCCACCGAAAATACTCCGTAACCTCGGAGGCCATTCTCCGTGGTCCCGCGGTCGGCCCCAAAAAGGAACCCAAGACCACTCTTCGGCCCGCCACATCGACGGAAAATAAACACCACGCTCGGATTTGTTCTCCGAGGTCCCAGGTGGGCAAAAGGGTTCTGGAGAGACGCCTTTCGTCAACCTGCGCTCTGGCGCTTACTCTGGAGTTCTGGGTTTCGTTTCTGCGGTATTCCGTCTTTGCCCTCCCAATGCATGACCCGGGGTGCGGCCACACCCACGGAAAATAAATCCAGACTTGTAGGTTTATTTTCCGAACCCCAGGGCGGAGCAATCAACCCTCGCCCAGGACGTTCGTTGGTCCGTCACGTCCACGGAATGCGAGTACCAACTCTGAAGGTTTCCCCTCAGGCTCCGGATAGGGCGCAGACGTCTCGCACGGATCGTTCGTGGATCGACGACGCCCACGAAAAAGACTCCGTAACGCCGACGGAAAATAAACAACACGCTCGAGGTTTATTCTCCGAGGTCCCAGGTGAGCTCCAGGGTTCTGGCGAGACGCAGACGGAGTCCACGAGCCCCGCGCGCTCCCGGGCGGCCCCGAGGCGCTGCACGACGGCCTCGGAGGGCCTCCCCACGGAGGCTCGAGAGCCCCAGACGGCCCCAAGGGGGCTCCGAGAGAGAGCGCCCCGACGGCCCGAGCGGACCCCCAGCGAGCCCCAGGACGGCCCAGGAGTGCCTCCCCAGCGCTCCTGGTGGCCTTCCCCGAGGGCCTCCCGAGCCCATCGCTGGGCGCTCCTAGGGCGCCTCAGATGGGCTTAATTGGTTTTAGGGTTTTGACAAATGGTCGCAGCCACGCAGAGGGCGTGCGTAGCGACGCCCCAAAAGCTCGGTCTCCAGTACTTCTACGTGGCAGCGCCCCCGCAGGCACGCAGAGGGCACGCGTGGCGACGGGGGCGTCGCCACGCAGAGCTTCTAAAGACGAAACATGTTGAAAACCAATTGTTTCCACTACTAAAGTACATCCCCGAGGGACTTCAAAACTGCCCTCAAAAGGAGGGGGGCGAACGAGCAGTGCGCCGGGGCCGAGCTGCAGGAGCGCCGGCAAGAGCTTGGACACGAAGGCGCGGCCTCGCTGCCAGCGCCCCGGCCGCCGCCGTGCCTGCAGGTTCTCGGCAGTACCTCTGCCGTTTCTCCGATAACCATTCCAGGAAGATGTCGTGGCCGGAGGCCGCGGGTCAGCCCTAGTCAGCTACAACGCTGGGATCAGCGCGTGCAAGAAGGGCGAGCAGTGGCAGCGGGCGCTTGCGCTGCTGAGCGAGTTGCGGGAGGCGAAGCTGGAGCCCAATGCAGCCAGCTACAGCCCTGCGATCGTCGCTCTGCTCCGCAGAAGCGTGCGACAGGCTAGTCAGCCACACCGCTGAGGAAAGCGCTTGAGTGACAGGTGGCCAGTGGCCGCGGGCTCTGGCGCTGTCGAACGAGATGTGGGAGGCGATGTTGGAATTTGGACGTTATCAGAACTTTAGCGTTGTGATCACTGGGTGCATGAAAAGACGAGCAGTGGCAGCCGACGCAGGCGCAGAGCCTTCCAAGACACCTCACCGCCCGACGCCAATATAGGTCTGGAAGCGCGATGCCGCGGCATCCCCCAACAAAACTGTCGGGGACCCCCACTGTAGCCCTCGAAGCCTCCCCGAGACACCCAAGAGGACCAGAACAGCCACAGGGGGAATCAAACAACCCATCAAACAGGCCCCTCGAGACATTCGGAAGAGGCGATGCCAGGCCAGAAGACCAGCCGGAAGGAAACTCGAAGAGGCCACCATAACCGCCACAGGGTATTCATTCGAGGCGTTCGATTGCAAGTGACGGCGTTGGGCCCACAGGCGCGTTTCCAATTCTTCACGCTTCGCGTTTCCCCATCAGCTGCCCAAGGAAACCAGTTCCCCCCACCTCCAGCCACCCGTTGCCCCGAAGGGGCTCGTTTCACCTCGCTGCGCCCGACTCAGGCCGTAATACCCTTCGCCCCCCCTCCGCTGGGGCGAAGGCTACCCCCACATCTCACCCACGGCGCAGCTTAGCTAGACAGCCCACGCTGGATAAGTGGACCACCGTCTTCCTTTTCGGGTCTGACGCGGGGGGACTCCCCCCACCAGCACCCGACATCTCACCCTCACTGGCACGGCGGGGCCAGCCTGGCTCGCGCAGGCAGGCCCCCCGGGCTCATAGACTTTGCTGTCCGACGACGACAGCCGGCCCGCGCGCCAGGGGCCGGAGGTGGGCCACAGCATCCCCCCCCCCGCCTGCCTGGCGGCGAGCTCGACGAAGCCAGGTCACAGTTTTGTCACACTACAGACTTATGCGGCGGTTAGCTGCGACCCTGGAGGACCAACACCCACCATCCCCGTAGAGGTGCCAGTCTTCGCGTTGGCAGACCAGCATTCAGCATGGCAGGAGGTCCATTCAGGACCGCACCATCACACGGCATCAACACCGTTCGAAGGACCCATCAGTCGATGCTGTTTGCTCTTGAGCGGCGGTTAGCTGCGACCCTGGAGGACCCTCGAGAATGGCCATGTCCCCTGACCCACGGGTCCGGGGCCCGTTCGAGGGGCGTTGAGGTGCTTCCCCTCGCCTCTCCCTCTCGGGCCAGGCGGGTGTCCCCATCCCTTGGCCCCGGGGTTCGCCAGGCGTGCCGACAGACGCCGTTGGTTTTGTCCCCCCTCCCCATGGCCGCCCTTATCCCCCGCTGTCCGTGGTCGGCGGTTAGCTGCGACCCTGGAGGCCCATGTGGTGCGTGATGGAGGGCGGCCCCGAGTCTCGCGGGGAAGTGCGGAAGCGGCGGGCAGGGTCGGACCATGGTGACCGTCGGCTCTCGTGCCTGCTTCAGCGCAGCTTCCCTCTGGTCGCCCCACCCAATTGCAACGTTGCACGCTTGCTTGGACCGGGAGGTACAGCCAACTCTGTGTACATGAGGGTAAGCTTGTCCCTCGGTCCTTTTGGCGTACTTCAGGCGGCAGCACCACCATCAGTGCAGCACCCCTCTGGATTCCCCTGCCTCGCTGGCGATGCTCACCACGCCTGCCTGGCCTTCTCCTCTCACCCTGGGCCCGGCGCCGTGCCGCTGCCCACGGGCCCGGCTCGCGGTCGTCTTGGTGCCCCTCACTCACTGCCTGGTGGACTGGCGGGTGTTGAGATCGCCACGGAGTGGTTCAGCCCTTCGCAGCAGCTGCAGGCAGACTCATCCCCCCGCTTTTGGCAGGTTGCGTCGTTCCACGTTCCACGTTCCTCGACAGCTCAGCCCCCCTGGCCAGCACACGTCGTTGGGACGGTTGGAGCCTGGCGCCCCACTGGCGACTCGCTCCTCGGGCCTCGCGCCTGCCCCCATTCAGAATGACGGACACGGTTGCTCAGGTACTCGTCGTGTCTCTGTGTGGGTCGTGCATCACGGCAGGCATCGAATTCCTCGACATTCTGTCCACTGCACGTGCCCGAGCTTCCCAGGATGCCCCCCGCCGTCAGCTCCCCCACAGCCTCGCGGCTGCTTTGTGAGTGGGCCGGCCGGCTAGCGGCGCTTCTTGTAGTTAATTCGGCTTGCCCGTTGGCCCGGACACCCTGCTCGCCGCCTGCCTCTTCGCTGGCGGCCGCGACCGAAAAAGTATCCCCACCAGCCCATCCAGGAACTATGCCCATGAGAGCTGATGGGGGGAGCGTGGGAGATAGACGCATAGTCAAACAACGAGGCTATCTCGAGCCATCTTGGGCCTCTCGGGTGCCTCTCGGAGGGTTCTTGGTGGCCTCTTGAGGCGCTCTTTGGGCCCTCTTGGGGGCCTCTTGCGAGCCCTGTAGGGCCTCTTGGGGCCATCTTAGAGGCGGTCGATCAACAGAGGGGGGTCCTAAATGTAGCTCCCCCCCTCGGGGGCCACGATCCTCGCGAGGGGTGTCAAGAAGTGACCCTCCCAGGGGCCAAACAAGGACCCTCTGACCCCCTCCCCAAAAACACCCAGGGAGGGGAGGGGGAGGGTTCCCTCCCTCAGAGGGAAGAGGGGTCGTGGAAGAGGAACGAGACCCTCGTCAGACCACCTGTCGTCCAGAGGGCTGGTGGGATTACTGATGTTGGCCTTCTTGCCTCTTGGACGCTCCAAGGCCTCGTGACCCCCCCCGTCCAGGTCCAGGGGGAGGGGGGTCGGTGGAGGGGTAAACCCTTCCCCGAAGGGGAAGGAGGTCGGAAGAGGAAGCGCTCTTAACCACTCACACTCTAAAGGGCTGGTGATATTACCTATACGCATACGGTCTTGCCTGGCTTATAAGTGGCTTACAAGCGTCCCGAGTGGTTTAGGAGGGGTTATATAGCTCCGCCGAGTGGGCGGAGCCCGCTCAGCTCACCCGAACATCTGCTTATGCTTACCCCGTTTTATCCCCTCAGAAGCCCCCGCGGTGATCAATGTACTGCTCCCACTGCGGAAACCTCCAGGTGACCGCCCTCTAGCTCTACTCAATTTCGACTCAAGTTCTACTACAGTTCATTTCAAGTCGACCGCATGTCCCCGACCCGTGGATCTGGTGCCCACGCGTCATATCCACAGATCCGTAATCCATGTTGGCGTGTGCCCGGGGAGGAGGAGGAGGAGGAGGAGGAGGAGGAGGAGGAGGGGGAAGGAGGAGTGACAGGAGGAGGAGGAGGAAGAAGGAGGAGGAGGAGGACGAGGAGGAGGAGGAGGAGGAGGAGGAGGAGGAGGAGGATTAGTGTAAACCCAAGAGTCATCAACGATGTCGGAGTTAACCCTCCCTCCAAGCTCCCTCTAGGTCTGTACAATGGTTGATTTCCACAAAAGAAAACGTTTCCGTTGGAAGACAACCGTTTGAAGATCCCGAAGCATGGCAAGACATTGTTCTCGGGATTTCAACGCCACGCATCAACCTGACTGCTGCGTCTTGACGATCCGAATCGTGCCAGAACGCCATTGTTGGGACTTCAACGCCGCGAATCCATATAACCGTTGCGCCAGCATAATCCTGAACCCTTCCAATAACACCATTTCTGGTACGTTTATCTTGGGAATCGGTGAAACTCTTGCAACTGTTTACAACGAATGTGCGCGGCGCTAAGGCGAGAGCCACATTTTGAAAAGGGGCTCGCCCTCAATCAGTTTTTTTTTGTGCAATGGTTGTGCAACGAAAATGCGCGGCGCTAAGGCAAGAGCCGCATTTTGAAAACGACCCGCCGCCATCAGTGCGTGAAGCCCTTGCAACTTTTTGAAACAACAGTACGCGGCGCTAAGGCGAAGCCACATTTTGAAAACGACCCGCCCTCAGTCCGTGAAGCTATTGCAACATTTGAAACGAAAGTGCGCGGCGCTAAGGCAAGAGCCGCATTTTGAAAACGACCCGCCCTCAGTCCGCGAAAGTCTTGCAACTTTTTGAAACGAGAGTGCGCGGCGCCAAGGCGAAACCACATTTTGAAAACGACCCGCCTTCAATCCGTGACATCACTGCAAATTTTGAAACGAAAGTGCGCGGCGCGAAGGCGAGAGCCGCATTTTGAAAACGACCCGTCCTCAGTCCGTGAAATTTTTACATTTTGATGAAACGAAAGTGCGCGGCGCTAAGGCGAAACCACATTTTGAAAACGACCCGCCCTCAGCCCGTGAAACTATTGAAATTTTGAAAACGAATGTGCGCGGCGCTGCGGCGAGAACCACATTTTGAAAACGACCCGCCCTCCATCTGTGGAGCGGTTGTCCCCTTTTAAGTTTCAGAGTCATAAGTGGTGAGGAAGTCTCAGGCGAAACGCCCGACCCGCCCTAACAACTGGCCCTGGGGTGCGACAGGGAAACGTTATCTAGAAGGAAAAGAAAAGGAGGAGGAGCAGGAGGAGGAGGAGGAGGAGGAGGAGGAGGAGGAGGAGGAGGAGGAAGAGGAGGAGGAGGAGGAGGAGGAGGAGGAGGAGGAGGAGGGGGAGGAGGTGGAGGAGGAGGAGGATGATTTCAGGAGGTGGAGGAAGAGGAACATGATGAGGAAGAGGAGGAGGAGGATCCACGGATCCGTGATTCATGTTGGCGCGTGCCCGATCCAGGTCACGGTCTTCGACGTCTCTTTGCTGTGCACGCTTGTGCTCCGGCACACACGCACAAGAACTTCATGCTCTGAGCGTGCTCCGTCTCCCTTCTTTTGCTTATTGTTCTTATTAATCATGGTGTTCTTCTTATCCTTCAACAGTTTCTTCTTGTTATCATTATTTCTCTTGTTTTCCTTCCTCTTATCCTTTCTTTTTCTTCTTCTCCTCATCCTCCTGCTCCTCGCCCTCCTCGTCGTCCTCCTCCTTCTCCTCCTCCTCCTCCTCCTCCCCCTCCTCCTCCTCCACCTCCTCCTCCCTCTCCTTTCTCCTCCTCCTCCTCCTCCTCTTCCTCCTCCTCCCTCCTCCTCCTCCCTCCTCCTCCTCCTCCTCTCCTCCTCCTCCTCCTCCTCCTCCTCCTCCTCCTCCTCCCTCTCCACCTCGCCTAGCGTGCTCCCTCCTCCTCGCCTGCCGTGCCCGATGCGTCCCCACCTCTGCTGCGTTCGAGCGCGGCGTGGCTCCTCGCCGCTGCGATTCAAAAGTTCACCACCCACCAAAGCACCCCAACCCACCCCGAAGGCCCCAATGTGCCCTCCAGTTCCAGTGCGTGGGGGGCGGGGGGGCGTCGGATATGAAAAACCACATGTGGATACCTCCCGCCCCCCCCAACCCGAAATTTGGATCTTCGGGTTGGTTTGGGGTGGCTTGGTAGGTCGTCGACAGAGTGCCCGGTCCAGGTGACCGCCCTCGGCCTCGGGGGCGGCGCCCTGCGGCTGCCGTCGGCGTGCCTCCCTGGCGCCGAGCCATTCGGGCTCCTCGGCGGCTTGCGCGGGCAGGCGCGCAGGGTTCGACCCAAGCTGCGCTTTGATGTTCCCTCCCGATTCCGTGCGCCATTTTTCGTGGGTCGTTTTCGTTCGAAGTTATTGCGCAGCAGCGGCGGAAAACAAAGACGAGACGAGCGAACACGAGCTGGCGAAGGACCCAACCATGTGCAATTGAAAGTGCCGCAATTGTGGGTATCCTCTTCGGCGGAGTTCCCGGCCTATGGACCACGAAACGTTGTGCTCGGCGTGGGAAGCATCGCTTTGCAGCAGAGGCGGAACTGGGGAAACCATGAAATACTGACGCCGCTGCTCCCAGGACCTCCCGTGGGGCGCGTGCGGACCCGGCTCCCGACGCGAGCCCAGCCGTGACGACGAACCGCCCAGGAGGCCCAGGGGGACCACGAGGCAATGGCAGCGGTGAGGGTACCTCTGCCCCCCCCAGGAATGAGGCCAGGCAGAGGGAACGCGAGGACAAGACGCACCCGAAAAACACCCCGTGTTTGCGTCGATTTGAGTCGGGCCTGTTCCTCTACAGGAGGGGTGTTCAAAACCAGTATGAAAATAGTCGGGGGACGTGATTTGGATGTATTGTGTTGTGACGCCGTTTCGCCGAACGTCCCCTGTGTAGGGGGGCACGCCCGACCTGAGCGTCGATCCCCGGGCAGGCCCTCGGCCTGCACGCCCTCGGCCTGCTCTGCGCCGAGGGCCGCCGCTGCACCGCCGCGGCGCTGGGCGACGGGCTGCTGCCGCGCCTCGTGGGCGCGCGGCGTGCCGAGACGCTGCAGCTGCGGGCGCTCGGACCTCGGGGGGGCGTTCGCGGCTCGGTCTCGGATTGGCACGAACGATGCCTCGGCAGCTGAAGTCGGGCGTGTGCCTCCACAGAGGCCAGCAGTGGCGAAGCGTCCAGACTCGCCTAGAGGCCCACCGTCGTCGGCTAGGCGTAAGAGTGACCTTTCGCCGGAGTGACCTTTGGTGCGGGCCCAAATGGGTCCCCCAATCGCCGAACGCGCTGCGATATCAGCGGCTTGCGCGCTTGGGTTTGGCTCCCCCGCGCCCCCCTAATGCCGCGCACCAGAGGTCACTCTTACCCAGGGTCACTCTTGCGTATAGCCGACATCGGCACGAACGAAATGGGCCAACAGCAGTTCCTGTTCAGTCTGAACAGGGCTCGCCGTCGGTGGTCGCCGCGGCCTGCGGCCATTTAGGGCAGAAGGCCGCCTGCCCATCAGTGGCCGCGGTTGGTTTGGGACAACATGTGCTGTTGGGCATTGTGCCCATTCTTCCCGTGCCCATTTCGGGCGTCCAAATCGGAGGGGGAAGAGGTACAGTCGAATGCCGGGCCACCAGACGCCCGAAGACGACCCAGAGAAGACCTCCTCAGAGGCTTCCGAAACGCGGAACAAAAACACATGCAGTTTTACAGGTTTTCGCATGATTTTGGGGATGCCCTGTTCTTCGGTTTTCTTGGCGTCCGAGGCCGCGTGGGAGGCTCGGAAATCGGCCCAAAACCATCGAGGTCGGTGAAGGGAGGGTGCCCTCGTGTTTTTCTTGCTCGTCGGATGCTTTTGTGCATCCAAGTTCTGTGTGTTTTGCCGGCCGAGGGTCTCCTGTTCTTGGGGATGTCATTTTGCCCTAGGTCCGACTGTACCCATGCCGCTACACTTCCGTCTTTTTCGCCTTCTCTGGGGCCTCCTGGGAGGCCCTCGTCGCCACCGCTGGATCAGCTTCGACATCCTGGTCAGAAAGCGTCCCAGGAGAGGTCCGGGGAGCAAGTGTTGGGGTGCCTTTTGGGTTTCCTGGGGAGCTCGCGGGATGGTCGGTTCGGCTGCGTTGCAGTCGGTCGCTTTCGGTCGGTTCGGTTCGGTCGGACACCACGCCGTTGCCGCGTCGCTGCGCCCTCCTGGGCGTACGTGCGGCCTGTCGACGTCGGTCGGTCTCGGTGTCGCTGCCCGTTTGGTCGGTGTTCGGCCATGCTGTCATCCCAAGGCCGCCTGCAGGAGGGCATGCCCGACCTACGCTTAGGAATGACCGGCGCTGGAGAGGGGGGCGCCAACAAGTGCTTCGCACGCAACGCCACCACTACTACCCAGAGCATCAAGTGCGCGAGTAGATTCTGCGCACGCTTTGAGGATCCTATGGCCGACGGTTGGTAGGCCTCCCGGATGGAGCCCGAGCAGGTGGGGTCGGAGGATCGCGCCGCAGCGCCGATGCATCGGCGATGCGGCGCGATGTGGAGCCCGATGTTCTCCACGCCGACGTGCGCCGATGCATCGGCGATGCGGCGCCGATGCGTCGGCGAGGCGGCGCCATCCTCCGACCCCACCTGCTCCGATCCCACCTAGGAGGCCCAGTTCTGAGGACCATCGACGCACCCTTGCCGTACCTTTGGACGTCCGAAATGGGTACGGAAAAAATGGGTACAATGCCCAAGAACAAATGTTGTCCCAAACCAACAGCGGCCGCTGTTGGGCAGGCTGCTCGGACCCCATCCGGGAGGCTTTATTGTCAGAGGAGGGGGAGAGGATGCTTGGGAGCCAGCTGGGGGGTGGGGGGGGGGGCGGCCCAGCACTGGCTATACGGCGAGCAACGGGGGGGGGGTGGCGAGGTTCGAGGTTCGTAGCTCGAAGATCTTTTGTGATTTTTCGTAGGATGAGGAGGAGGAGGAGGAGGAGGAGGAGGGGGAGGAGGAGGAGGAGGAGGAGGAGGAGGAGAAGGAAGAGGAGGAGGAAGAGGAGGAGGAAGAGGAGGAGGAAGAGGAGGAAGAGGAGGAGGAGGAGGAGAAGGATCTGGGGAGGCGGAGGAGGAGAAGGAGGAGGGAGGGGGAGGCCGTTTTCAGGCCCCGGGACCGTCAAACACGGATATCTGGGGTGGAAATCTGCGCCAGGTGGGCCCCGGGAGGGGTGCGGGTAGTTGAGCGGAGACCGATGCCGCTGCCCACGCCTCGTCGCCAGACCTCCAGACGTCATCGCGCCGCAGAAATACAACGCGGCTGGCGGTCTTGGACGGTTTTCGGCTTTGAGGGGCCCTCACAGGGCCCCAATATTGTCAAAGAAACTGCTCAGGCTGAACATCTGGCCCTGGGGAGGTGTTCGAGATCTCTCGGGGCCGACGTTGAGAACAACTCGCGACATCGGAGGCCTTGGGAGCAGCAGCAGCAGGTACTGATACCGCTCCGCTTCCCTGGATTCGCCTCGAAGTCCTGGTCAGCACGCGCTCCTGCAGAGGTCCGGGGAGTAGCCGCCTCGCACCCTCTTTTTGCTCCCCCCGCCGCCCCCCAGGCGCTGCTGCGGCGCCACGGCCGGCAGCTGCTCGGCAGGCTGCTGCCGCGGATTCCCGAGCTCCGCAGGCGACCTCTCGAGATCGATCCGATGCCGGTCTGAGCTTTCGGCCGTTCTCGACGGCCTCGGGATGCGCTCCGGCAGCCGCGCCCCGCCGGGAGCGTTCCACGGGTGCCCGACTCGCCCCGAACGGCCACCAGGGACCCGAGTTCTGACCCGAAAGCCGAGGTCAGGGCATCTCTCGCCCCGAATGGCCTTCAGGCCACTCCGCCACCGTGCCTGGTTTGTGTGACATTGGCCTCTGGAGTGTTCGTCGGGATGTAGCGGGAGGCCTCTCAGGGACCTCTTGGAGACAGTTTCGAGGCCTCTTGGGAGCCGTTTTGGGGCCTCTTGGGGCGTCTTGGGGCCTCGGGGGCCTCTCGGAGCCCCGTGGGGGGCCTTTGGGGGCCTCCTGGGGGCATCTCGGGGCGGAAAGTTTGAATTGTGGCAGTCGTCCGGGATTGCGTTTCCCGTAATTAGGAATTATGGGAAACGCAATTCCAGCCCGAAGCCCTGCGAATTATGGGAAACGCAATTCCCTTTGAAAAACCGCACTCGATGGGCTGTGCACCCAGGGCACATTGCACGGGGAAACGCGTTTTCCCAGAAGTCGAATCCCGAATTATGGGACACGCAATTTCCTTTGAAAAACCGTACTCGATGGGCCAGAATTGCGTTTCCCATAATTCGAATCCGAATTTTGGGAAACGCGGTTTCCCAGAATTCGAATTCCGAATTATGGGAAACGCGATTTCTTTTTTTGAAAAACGCACTCGATGGGCTGGAATTGCGTTTCCCATAATTCCGAATTATGGCAAACGCAATTTTCTTTGAGAAACCGCACTCGATGAGCTGGAATTGCGTTTCCCATGATTAAATGTCGAATTGTGGGAGAATTCGAATTTTGAATGGTGGGAAGCGCAATTTCCTTTGAACAACCGCACTCGATGGGCTGGAGTTGCGTTTCCCATAATTCGAATTCTGAATTTCGGGAAACGCTGTTTCCCAGAATTCGGAATTCGAATTTTGGGAAGCCCAATTATGAGAGTGCGGTTTTTTCACGGGAAATTGCGTTTACCATAATTCGGAATTATGGGAAACGCAATTCCAGCCCATTGAGTGCGTTTCTTCAAGGGAACTTGTGTTTCCCATAATTCAGAATTATGGGAAACGCAATTCCAGCCCATTGCGTGAGGTTTTTTCAAGGGAAATTGCGTTTCCCATGATTCGGAATTCTGGGAAGTTGGGTGAAGCTTTTTAAGGGAAATTGCGTTTCCCATAATTCGGAATTCGAATTCTGAGAAACCGCGTTTCCCCAAATTCGGAATTCGAGTGATGGGAAACGCAATTCCAGCCCATTGAGTGTGGTTTTCCAAGGGGAATTGCGTGTCCCATAATTCGGAATTCGACTTCTGGGAAACAGCGCTCCCCGAGACTCGGAACTCGAATTATGGGAAACGCATTTCCAGCCCACGGAGTGCTGTTTTTCAAGAATTTGCGTTTCCCATGATTCAGAATTATGGGACAATGGGGGAATACATGCGTGTAGTGCTTTCTGTGCTTCGCGCCTTCCGTCACGCTTCTTTCCTCGACGCGAGGGGGTCTGGGCCCGTGCCGTGTTTTGTCCCCCCCGGGTACGCCATGAAGAAGATCCTGGAGGCTTCGCGTGGCGCGCAACACTTGTTAGGGTGCCACATGCGAACCCTACCCCTGCCCCCCACGATTTCTGAGGGGGAGGGTGGGGTTCACTTCGCTCGGGAGCTCCCGAACGAAGTGAACCCCACCCTCTTCCTCAGAAATCGTGGGGGGTAGGGGTAGGGTTCGCGTGTGGCCCCCTAGTTGTACCATCTGGTCCGCCCGCCCGCCCCGTCAGACCTGGACCAACGTTCGGGCGGCGATGCCCCGGCGTGCCTCCGACGTGCCTCCGGCGTGCCTCCGACGCACAGCCGACGCTCCGCCGATGAGAGAGCCCGATCGTACCTTCCGACGCGGGCCCAGCGCAGGTTGGGACCCCCGGGCTGCCGCGCGAGGTCTCCAGGCCTGTCCTCCCGAGTGCCCCGCTCCTCCCAGGTACGTGCCGCCCCCCCTCGTGCTCGCCCTCGTGGTGGCGATGCAGCGGACCCTCCCGGTGCTGCTGCCGGCGGCGGCGCTGCTGCCGCGGCTGGCGCTCTCCGGCGGCCGCTGGCGGGGCCCGGCGGCGCCCCGCCGCGAAAGCAGCGCCAGGGTTCGGGGGTTGCTTGCAGGGTGCCCCTGGCCCTACGTCAGGTGCCCCCCCAGGATTTCTGTGGAGGCCCCCACGGCCTCCAGGGCACCCTCAGGAGGCCCAAAGGGGCCCAGGGGTTCCCACACGGATCCGGCCAGGGGCACCTCTTGCAACCCCGGACAGACCTGCTCGCGGCCTGAAGAAGTCAGCTGGAGGCCTCTGGCCGGGCCCCGGGGCCATCAACAGAACGGCTCGGGATGAAACGCCGGTATTGAGGAGGAGAAGAAGGAGGAGGAGGAGGAGGAGGAGGAGGAGGAGGAGAAGGAGGAGGAGGAGGAGAAGGAGAAGGAGAAGGAGAAGGAGAAGGAGGAGGAGGAGGAGGAGGAGAAGGAGGAGGAGAAGGAGGAGGAGGAGGAGGAGAAGGAGAAGGAGAAGGAGAAGGAGAAGGAGGAGGAGGAGGAGAGGAGGAGGAGGAGGAGGAGGAGGAGGAGGAGGAGGAGGAGGAGGAGGAGGAGGAGGATGGGGTTTGAAAGAGAGTCGGGGCTTCCTGGAATTCCGCCTGGAACAAAGCAGGACGTATCGCATGTTTGGGAACAGGTCCTGGAGGCAGTGTTCCTCCTCTGGTGATGACGAGCGTGGCAGGGGGGGGAGCGTGAAGGGGGAGGAGGAGGGGGGAAGGGGATGGGGGGAAGGGAACGAGGAGGAAGAGGAGCAGACGAGAGAGGAGGGAGGGAGGGAGGGGATGGGAGAGGGAGTGGGGGGGTGGGGGGAGGGGGAGGGGGGGAGCGGGCCGGACACGTCACGACTCGAGCCAGCGCCACCTGGGAATGCCCAGGAACGGCCAGTTCTTCACGCGTCGCGTGTCCTCACCGGCCCGTTCAGAGACCCTGCCCATGAGAGTTGACGGTAAGAGGGACGAAAAGACACACACGTAAAACGAAGCGGTCAACCAGGATGAACAGAGAGATCTCTGGGAGCAAGGGCGTGGTTTTGAAGGGCCTCTTGGGGGAGTACCTGGGGCCCGCGGGGGGGGCAGAGGGGAGAGAGGAGGAGGAGGAGGAGGGGAGGAGGAGGAGGCGGAGGAGGAGAGGAGGAGGAGGAGGAGAGGGAGGAGGAGGAGGAGGATGAGGAGGAGGAGGAGGAGGAGGAGGAGGAGGAGGAGGAGAGGCGGAGCGGAGGCGAGGCGGAGGCGGAGGCGAGCCGGAGCGGAGGCGAGAGGAGGAGGAGGAGAGGAGAGGAGGAGTGGAGGAGGAGATGAGGAAGAGGAGGAGGAGGAGGAGGGATGGATGTGATGGATGGAGGGAGGGAGGGAGGGAGGGAGGAGGAGGAAGAGGATGAGGAGAAGGAGGGCAGGAGGAGGAGGACGGGAGGAGGAGGCGGAGAAGGAGGAGGGGGAGCAGGAGGAGGAGGAGGAGGAGGAGGAGGAGGATGAGGAGGAGGAGGAGGATAGGAGAGGAGGAGGAGGAGGAGAGAGGAGGAGAGGAGAGGAGGATGAGGGAGGACGAGGAGGAGGATGGAGGAGGGGAGGAGAAGGAGGAGGAGGAGGAGGAGAGGAGGAGGAGAGGGGGATGAGGGAGGAGGAGGGAGGGAGGGAGGGAGGGGGGAGGAGGAGGAGGAGGAGAGGAGGAGGAGAAGGAGGCAAGGAGGAGGAGGGGGCAAGGAGGAGGAGGAGAGGAGGAGGAGGCAGCGGAGGCGGGGGGCGGAGTGAGGACGCGGAGGAGGATGAGAGGTGATTATGATGGTGCTGATGGATGATGTGATGATGATGATGATGATGATGATGATGATGATGATGATGACTGATGATGATGATGATGATGTATGATTAGGAGTAGGAGGAGAGGAGGAGGAGGACGAAGGGGGGAGAAGGAGGAGGAGGAGGAGGAGGAGGAGGAGGAGGAGGAGGAGGAGGAGGAGGAGGAGGAGGAGGAGGAGGAGGGGGAGGATGAGGATGGGGATGCTGATGATGACGATGGCTGTGATGATGATGATGCTGATGATGATGACGATGATGCTGATGATGATGATGATGTTGATGGTGGTGATTATGATGATGCTGATGCTGATGATGATGCCGATGCTGATGATGATGATGAGGATGATGGTGACGCTGATGATGATGATGATGTTGTTGATGATGATGATGATGATGCAGATGATGATGATGATGCTGATGATGATGATGATGATCGTGATGATCATGATGATGATGCTGATGATGATGATGATGATGGTCATGCTGATGATGATGATGATGATGAGGATGATGATGATGATGATGATGATGATGATGATTATGATGCTGATGATGATGACGACGACGATGATGATGCTGATGATGCTGATGCTGATGATGATGATGCTGATGATGATGATGCTGATGATATGATGATGATATGCTGATGCTGATGATGATGATGATGCTGATCTCATGCTGATGCTGATGATGCTGATGATGATGGATGATTGATGATGATGTATGATTATGTTGATGATGATGATGATGATGATGATGATGATTATGAGGGGGATGATGCGGAGGAGGAGGAGGATTATGAATGATGATGATGATGCTGAGGATGAGGATGATGATGATGATGATGATTGATGATGATGATGTGATGATGATGATGATGATGATGATGATGATGATGATGATGATTGATGATGAATGATGAGACGATATGATGATGATGCATGCTGATGATGATGATGATGATGATGATGATGATGAATGGATGATGATGATGATGATGATGCCTGATGATGATGATGATGATGATGAATGATGATGATGATGATGATGATGCTGATGATGATGATGATGATGCTGATGCTGATGTTGATGAGGGAGGAGGAG